GATCCAAAATTATTATGAAAAACGAAAAAGTGGGCTCAAGAGATACGGAAGGGTTCTTCGTTGTCCTCGAAGGTATTGTATAACCACGACAGGCAGAAGATACTTCTGGCAGAAATCTGCACGAAGATACCGCTCGCAGGTGCTAGTAGCTCCGCCCGGTTTCAAGCAACTCGCCACACAATGCTGTTATTTCTACGCTGTTGGTGTAGGAAAGACGGAGAAGAAGGAAAGACAGTAGCCTATATCTTCTGGAACCGAATAGTTAAGAAATTTTTGTTATGATTTGAGGGTGTCACGGCGGTGAGTCCGAAGATAGTTGTCTTCTGGGTTGTAGCACCGTGTAGTCTGTAGAAGATTATCACTGTTTCGGATGTCCTTGCTGCCTCCATCATCACACCGTCCTAAAGATGGAAGCAGACAAGGACGTCATCACATCGTCCTAACCAACAATACTCGGTAAAGAAAGATTGTCCGCGGCACTTAGCCAAACATCACGCCATGCAGTGATGCGGGGAAAGTGGAAGGATAGCTCCACGCATTCTTAACCAAGGAAAATACCTCGGTCCTACATATTATTGACGGCTATAGCGAAGAAACAATCCTGCCGTCGGTAATCGATCCCCGGTCAGACAGCCATAACTTAATCGCAATCTGACCGAACCATTCCGGTCCCTTCCAAAACAACCCTCCTCCCCCCCAAATAAACTGTAGCAGATCGATCTGATATTCCTGGTAGTCCCTCGTATATAAATACAATCAAAATTCGAATAATTTATGAAATGAAGTTGTAAAATTACCAGATGGTATTACTATTGTCCCTTGAAACTTCAAAGAAATCGAAAGGCTGTGGTGATCGGTCATAGATGGAAGTGTCCAATCGCAGGCTTTGGTATTAGCCGTTTCGAATCTTCGGGTTTCAGATGCTTTTCGGTAATTTCTAGGAAAATCAGGTGCAATTTAGCACGAACGCGTACCTGACAGGACGTCGGAGAGCTCCAATTTCCTGCTACGCGCAAACTGTCGCGACAGACAGAGCATGCCGATTATGCTCTAACTGCTTACGGTCAGAGAATTTTAATGTTAAAAAGAAAATTGGAGCAGAACGCAACGTTTATGAAAATTATACTTGCCCATTAAAGTCTTCGTTATGATCACACACGGACCTACAGCCTTTATCAAATTAAACATTTCTGCCTATGTACCTCATTATATAATATTTACATGTAAACTGCCTGAATTTTTAAACACGTTATTAGTGTTCTGGTCAAAATTACAGGTGCTTGAAACTGAGCTAAGTAGCCAACCTGACAGACGAACAAACTCACGGAATTCACTTGCAAGACGGTGGCTCCTAAGAACTTGTTTCTATTCGCTTAAACGTTCACTGTGTCGGGTGTCTGTCATTTCTAGATCCTCTCCTTTCTGAACACATGCATTATTTATTTAGTGTTCTGTCTGACGACAGGTCCATATGGACAGGATCCTTCCATCCTTTTCTCGGACTGGGACCTGTTCATATACGTTCTTGGCAGATGATTCAGAAGTGGTTTGCCATTGCCTTCTTCTGTGTGTGAATGGAGTAATTGTTGGGATGCCACGGAGAAACCGGGGAAGCCCCCGGAGGAAAACTCCGTGTTGCCTAGACCACGGCCTTGCCCAACACAAGTTATAAATTCGGGCACCGTCGGGAATCGAACCCGAGACCCCAGGATTAGAAGGCCAGCGTTCTAACCGCTAGAGCCGAAGAGAATAACAGGGTGAAACCTGAGACTGTTCGATTATTTGCGAATGGAACTCAGTTACCCCATCCTACCAATCTCTCGAATCAATCACATAAATAATAACATAAGAGCAATAAACATTTAAATATGTTAAGGCTAAAGTACGTTTTTCCAGTGCTTTGTTCGTGTCCCAGAGGTTTAGACATTTGCCTTCCCGCTTTATTCTCAGGCACTCTCAATTTAAGATGACTTCTGCCATATTGCTCCGGGCAGTTTGGTAGATCATAGCCCTGATGATGGACACAGCAAGGACCTCTGAAACGTCGGTTACCAGACCACACGGCACAACAACCGAGAAGACAGTCGTCTTCATACACGCAGCCGTGAGAACATGAAATTTCACCTTAAAATCTGTTCTTCCCTCAGGAAAGAAAGAAGGATCAAGGGATTTGCGTCCGCCATTTTTTATTTGTAGGTTCTTGGCTTCAGGCAGTGTCGGCGGCCATACCAGGTACAGAGATCAGTTGCTGGGTAGCAGATAGCAAAAAGAGAACAAGAGACGATCGCCCCGCCCAGATGCGTCTGGCATTGGAGCAATGCAAATTATATGCATCGCACGTCCGTCCTATCGAGTGCGAATGTGTGGTCAGGGGGGGGAGGAGAGGGGAAATCGCACATCGCTACCTGTCACATACTCTGAGAGGTCCGACTGTAAGAACTGGACCAGATGTGCACCCCCTCTGCCAATCGCAATTTCTGGTTCTTTCAACATACCTCCTTCCCGTTCTGTAGAAGAACAAAATAATAATCTGTGCTCAGGACCCCACTTCTGTTATCTTTGCCACACATACTGAGAAGTTAGTAGGAGTGGAAATATTCCCAGAATGGTTTGTCGTCCTACGACCGGGAAATAAGCCTTCGCACGTTTCCTTACTTTCTTTTGCTATCCTAACCAATCGAGGAAAAGTGGCCCAACGAGTAACTTCTTAATTTGAATGCTTAGCTAGTTTATTTGAGATAATCATATTGAATTGCAGTTAACCATTTCAAGCGGTCTAAATGATATTAAAGAATCAACTCCGTACCGGAAAGAAAACACAACATACGAACACCGACTGTTAAATGCTCCCTCTCATCTATGCACAGCCATCCCAACTAGACTACACCTTTACTGTCATTCTCTGGATGTCTTCGGTGAATGTTTTTCGTATATTTTTTGGACTTTATACACCGTGTGATTTTTATGACTTGAAAATCTTAAAACGTTCACTACGTTTTGAATCACCGCGTTTCGAAGGATGGATCTTCCTTTCCCTTCAGGTAAAAAAGGGGAGAGAAACCTATTCTGTTGAATCCGGCAGACCGAGCTATTTCTGTAGAGATGTTTGCACAAGACTACGACAGTCTAAAACAGTCCTCTTTATTCCATTAACCATTAGTTGTCACTATAAGCTTGAGATTCCAATTTCTACTTTACATTGCAAGTGACATGACATGTCATACTATCTCTCTACTGACCCCAGAGTCGTAAGCCGATGTTTTCGGCGACTGATCACAACAACGAACAAGAAAATGTATGAAAATATTTATCGGGGATGACTAATAGATACAACACTCCGAACTGCAAAACGCAAAGCCAATTCAGACAGTCGATGGGTATGCAAATCTGCAAAACACGAGTTAACGTAAGGATTTCGAGGTACCATCTTTGGCAGAGTAGGACCGTACAAATTTTGCACGCTAACAGCTCAAAATTCAATGTAGACCGACTAGGTTTAGTAAATAATGTTGTCTCTGTTATAAGCGTCAGGTAGAAAGAAGGGTGTTTGGGTCTCCACTAAAATTTACCTGAAGAAAATGCATCAGTAAGGGCTAGAAAAGCGGTTCTCAAACTGTGGTGTCGGTACCTCATTCATATACACACAGCATTAATTATACGTGAGCTTTGAGCAATCCTGAGTCACAAACCGTGGATTCAGATTGTGGGCTTTCAACAAAGCTAATATACCTTGAAAGATCCGAGTTATTATCATTCTCATTACATGGCTACGATTATACGATAACGTCATTTACTGACGGCGAGAAAAAGTTCACGTCACCAAACGTGTAGCAAGAAAAACAGACTTGCCTCAGTGTGGGAATAAGTAAAAGGTTTCTTTAGTAAGGATACGAGACTTTTTTTTCATCAGGGGTACCAGACAGAAGAATTTGAGAATCCTTAGATTTATTGTTAACATTTACACAAACTACTATCACTGAATATCCGGACTTCGTCCATTGCCTGGTATTCTAAAAAGAACACAATTCTGAGACCAAGAGGTACGGAATTTCTATTTATTTCGGTCATATATGAACACCTCCAACGTCTATGTTGTATATGACTGTGTGTTCTGTTTAATAGTTGTATATTTTACTATGAGCCAAACTGCATGACCAATGAACTATGATCCAGATCGTAAGAACATTGAACTCTCAATAAGATAAGGAGATTAGAGCACACAAGCCGTTACTCAGCACTTATCGGAGCGAAGTCCAACACTGCACGCGTGTCTAATCGGTGGCCAGCCTAGAAATGCTCCCGGCACTTCTGTAGCACACGAAATTGTCACCCGAGACATTTTAAGCTCCTTATAAAACCCGTGTTTTGAGGACATCGCCAGAATCAAACAAACGTCACACTGTCATCACGCAGTTATTCTTTGGTCTGTAGCTCTGTGAAATATCATTACTACGGTATCAGATTACGTTACTATTTGAATTCAAAGTGTTTTGACTCAGAACGTGTGAAGTGTTTATATAAATCTCCTTGAAATATCTATCAACAGTGTTGTTTTTACTACAGTGGGTTGAAATTTAAATTCTTAAGTGTCCTAACGCAGCAATTCCGAAGACTCGGTCGGTATGCTTTCCCATCTCCTTAAATTATCCTGCGGGATACAGTCACCAGTAGTTCAGGGACGCAAGTGGGTAGGTATTCCCCACTTCTTCATATGTGGATGGAAAAAGATCTACTTCCCAAAATCCAAAAATATCATGCATATATTTTTGTAGGGTTTGAGGTTTTTACTGAAATGTGAGACAACATGGTGGTCTTCTGGTTGGTTGAACTGTTTCGGCTAACAACGTTTCGGTAGAATATACTGCCTCCATTTTCAGGGCTAGAATTCTGCAGTTCCTCCAGACGTCGATATATACAGAAAGGCCAGACGGCACAACAATCCAAAAGACCATGCTCTATTATAAAAATTGGTTTCTTTCTTTTAAATTATTTTGGCTTACCGTTTGTAAAAACAGGCCCATAAAGACGGCTGTCTTCAAAGTTGTAGCGCCGTGTTGTCTAGTAGAAGTTTACCGACGTTTCGGGGTCCTTACTGCCTCCGTCATTACATCGTCCTGCTGATGGACCACTAGACCGCATTCGATTCAGATCGCCTGGACTAAAACCGAAAAGAAATCCGTCAGTGAATGATATACGGCAGACGGGAGTAGATTCAACCGCCTTTGGAAATGGATACCGCAGAACAGACACGCGGTTTACTGGATCAATCACTGACACAATCTTTAGAGAAGCAAAATTACACAGATTTTGTTTGACGAATGTGACGTCGTTCCCATGTCAACATATTTTCAAAAGGCTAAAATAACACATTTTTGGACATACAAGTTGGTATTATTTTAAAACCTATTACTAAATCAAGGTGTCTCTTACAATCGCTGCGTCTTAAAGCTGAGGATATACGGTATTTACATTTCTTGTTTCGTGGCTGGCCGGGAGAAGCAGTTACATTGCACCCCACAGCATGCACGTTCCTCTTATTCCTACGTACAACACTAGGCGCCTTGAAAACAGGAACCGGAAGTGATGAAGGAGGGAGAGTTTCAACTTCCTAAACAAACAATTCCCGGTACAGGCGCCACCTGGTGAGGCACATGTCAGCATTGATATAGCGCAGACAGTGCTGCCACCTGAGCTACTTCTAGCTAGATCAAAAGGAATCTTCTGGACCGACAACTTCAAATTGAAGCTTTAGACGTCGGGTGCTGCTAGGTGGCTAGGAAGAACTACCACATTCCGACGACAAAACATACGGAACGACCGGAGTGGATCTACAGTGTCGTTTGGGTTGTAGTGCAGTGTAGTCTGGTAGAAGATGACCGACATTTCAGAGGTTCCTGCTGCCTCAATCATCAGGGCGACAGTCATCTTCGTACTGACCGCCGTGAGAACCTCATATCTCACGAACTACGGGATGTTCCCTCGCCTGTGCCGCTCCTGAATTCCAAGAATGTCCTTAGTTAAAACAAAACTGACCACTCAATACGGAGACTGAAACCGTTTCATGAAACTGTTAACATTCAACAAACGATTTCTGTACGCCCTTATGAGTACCGACTTACGTCGATTCACTCCGAGACCTTGACAGTCTGTGTGTATAAAAGTCCCCAGTCCTTCGTCTTCTGTTTGTTCTTCAAACACGCGGAATGGCTCACACTTCCTCTAACTACGAAACCGTAACAGGTTAGAAGCGGAAATGCGAACGTACGGTCTGGACAAAAACTGACTGCATTAACAAATATTCATTTCCAAAGGTTCGTCTGATACGAAAAGCGGGTTTCATCCACTTCGATGCTGGAAAGAATCGTTACTTCAGCCCTGAAGATGCAGACAGTATGTTTCTCCAAAACGCTGGAATCTATCTGTATTTTACAAGGCGTCAAAACCAAGAAGAACATCATTCCGGGAAGCAGCCATCTAGAGTATGAACTTTCTTTAATAGCTATTTAATTAAAATTAATCAATGCAAAAGTTATGTACACACAGTGCAACGTCATTTGTAGCGTTGTTTAGAAAGAGTAATAAGGGTGTGCGTTAATCAGGCGAGGAAGTTTGTTTGTTCTGAGAAAAGAGTTTTGGAAGAAAATGGCTTCTAAGCCTTCAGCTGTGTAGACTGTAACTGAAAGCCTTGAAACGACACTTAGGGGACATCTTTTTAAACATTGTTTGCTGGATTAGATAACAACGATTGAACTGTGTCCAACATTCATGCCTCTCTCTTTAGAAAACGCCTGATGGAACTATTCACAGCAAACAGACGCTTGAAGAGAAAGTTCTGTCGTAGACAAATCTCACTTTCTGTACCTCCGAGTCCTTGGGTCCGTATTCAATTGTCATTTACCTCTTCCCAATGCACTATGCAGTTAGGTCGTCAGGTAGTTTAAGCTACAGCCTTTCTGAAAACATTTTGCAACGGAACAGGCATTCAGAGCATTCAGACTCATATATATTCTTTGAAATTAATCCTCCGTCCACAGCACAATTATGAATCGCCTTATCTTATACTTTTCTATGTCCCTTTTTGATTCCCTTCTTGTAGGTCCACATTCCACTGCTGTGTACATTTCATAAATACAGGCTTATATACTGACTCTGTAGCATTGCTTTTAAACCGAGAGTAAAACTCGTTTGAAGAACCATGGGTCTTTGGATAGAAAAAAATGCTCTCACTGACAGGTGGTCTCTTAAATTAAGTGCACAATATATTACTTTTATTGGAAATCGACAGACATTCAGCTACTTGCAGGCATACAGGTGCTTAATACAAGTGTGGGCCAAACAAGGCAACACCGCACACAGCAATATTATTCGGTGAGATTTTAGGTTCTCACGGTCGCGAGCATGATTACTGGGCAACGCCCAGACGACAGTCATCTTTATACCCGCCGCCGTGAGAACAGAACAAAATAAAATGACTGGAAGATGTGGAACAAATGTCTCCTGAACGCTTTCCGTGGCAGGCAAACTTTTATGTGCCAACAAAAAGAAGTAACATAGGTCAACCAAGTAATAGATGGAGGGAACTTGATTTTCCACCCAGTAATTGATATTCAAGAAGAACTATAAGAAATCTATGCAAATCGTTCATTTGACAGTCTTCTGAAATATTTTTAAGTTCGTCAAATATTTACAGTTAATTTACCCTCATATCTAACAACAACGTGTATGAAACGTCGTTAAATCTTCATGCATTCCAGACCTCGGCGTTACTTAACAAGACAAACAAAATTTGTCATTTATACTTTTCAGTAGCGTGACGTCCAAACACATAGTTCCACATAAGAAGAGCTATTTCCTTTACTAATTACGATTTCTGTAAATTAATTACAATCGAATATACAAAATTTCAACTTCATTTACACAACAGAATGCAATGTCAATCAAAGAGCCACAGTGTCTGAAAATGTTAAGTAAAATATTCAAACGTGGTTTTTACACTACAATGACTTTTGTATATAAAACTAATGGTGATACAAACACCGAATACTGTCCCTAAAATGGTTCTATAAAAACAACGAGCATTTGATAAATAGAAGTCACAATGAAAATTGGCAATCTTGTTCTGTGCTGTCAACTGTTTACACAAGCACGTCCGAGGCACCAATGCCAACCTACACACACCAACAGAACTATTGTCCTATTACAGGCTGCAATTCGAATGGGGCAGAGCCTTAATGAAACAGCAGATCATTTCGATTCACCCAGTTTTCTTTAAATATAGCGCACAAGCTGTTTATTTGTTCGTTTTTCCCATAGCTTTAAGACGGACATTTACCTAGATGTATTAAAAGTGCAATTTTACTTCACATAAACTGGCAGTCAAACTGAATTTGTTTAATAAATGTTAGTAAAATCTATCAATATTAAATAATACACGACGTGGGAGTGTTATGACTCCAAGTAACCCTTGTATACTGCGATGGGTCATTAAAATCCCAGCATGTAGAAGCAACATTTAACTATAAACTTAAAATAATTTCAAAAACAAGAGGAAATGAACCCTAAACTGTACGAACCACACTCTTTTCGAGGCTAATAGCATGAAGCCCAAAAGTTCATTACCGCATTCACAAGAGCCCGCCACCTCAACTCACACCCTCACACTTTCGTAAGATCAATTTTAATATTATCATCCTTTCTACGGCTAGGTCTTCCGAGTGATCTCTGGCGAAGACTGCAAACTATGGAGCTCCTCATTATCTAGTTTTCTCAAGTCCTCAATGGGCGTTTCTTCCTTAGAGTGATAACCCATGTTTCATACCCATACTAAACAATAGGTTAAATGAGAGATTTGTGTATTCAGATAGCGGACGGGAGGTCGATATTAACTGTACAGTAGCACGGTTTCCCGGAATTCAGTCCACTCTTAAATTCCTTGCGAATGTAATTTGATTGTTAAAATTGTATCTACGTAGATACAGTTTTACCACAGTTTAAACAGTAATGAAGTATAACTTATTTTGGTTGCAGACACAGACTTACGGTCACCCAAAGTTAGACAAAATAGGCTGTAATTAACAAGAGTACAAAATAATACATAGATGCTTAGCAATCCACCCTAATACTATACTTTAACAGATGAACACCTAAGGCGAACAGACCTTTAGATTAAACCGGGAGTGTAGGTATGTTAATGTTATGTTAGGGTTACACGGTTATGTATAATGGCCGGTCAAAAGCCTGTAAATACAACATACCAGTGATGACAGCCGGTGGAACAGGTGCATCATGTCTTGATCTGCTTTACCACACTTAGGAAAACGTAGAAACGTGAACATAAAAAACGCAACACAAACGTGACGGGATTTCAATTATCTATACAACGGAAAGGTAAAATAAAACGAACTAACTAACCCTAAACGTGCTATGAACTGTCAGTTCTGCCTCCGCGCCACCATTCGACATTGGAGACACGTGAGACTCGAAATGCTGATTGGGCAATGGAAGACATGCCATTTCAACACTAGGGCGACATCTGTGGGGAGAAATTCGAACCGCTGATATATACTCCGCAGCCTTTCGGTTGAAATGGTAACTAAAGTGATTTACCGTTAGATGGCGATGGTTACTGGGCGTCAAAATGGCGTATCACTAATGAGACGAGATATGTTATTTTATTAATAATTAGTTTAGAAACAATGCTACAAACGTATGTGTCTCGTATAAAATAATTGTACAATCATCATGGGGATTTGATAACACCACATAATTTAGGCAGTTCACAACGCAAATTATATTTTTAAGAATGAGAATGGAACAAATTCCAAGGCAGTAGAATCTGTACAGCCAAAGGAAATTAAGGAATATAAATTGTTCATTAGTTGATGATCCAGTTGGTAATGAAATGGTGACACATTTATAAAAAGCCAGTTTTTATTTATAGTGATAATTGTAATTGGGGCATTAAAGTACGCATTACATTCTTTATATATGTATATATAAGTAGCTCATAATTTCAGTATTTACAGGTGCCACTAAAATTATTGTGATTTTAAAAAATAGTAATCGTATTGCACTGCCCCGTCTACAACAGGTGCAAACACCTGGTCATTAAAAACAAAATACAAACAAAATGAGACTTAGACTAAATCTACCACAAATATGCGACAACAGGTAACTATAAAGTATCTTTCATTGACGCAATGTAGGGCTATGTGTTTAATATCTCAGTATGACACCAATGTAGGCTTTGAAATTATAGCAATCACAAACTTTATACTCTTACACATACTAAGGACAACTTGGGCACAGTATTCTACCACAATTCAGCATTCCCCAAATTCTTGCAATCAGGAAGTCTTGGAATCATTTTACTGTATCTATTTTAACAATATATAGAAAGTGTATTGATAAATTTATTAGAAAAGGGATCCTTTTCCCTCAAAACTCACTTCAGGCTCAGTTACAGATCTAGGTGTATAAAATTTCAGTGACTTTATTTGGAGTGTCCTGTGTTTACAATATAAAGAACTATGAATAATATTTTGATGATCTGATATCTCCAGACTTGGAATTTTAGAGCAATCCTTCTTGTTGATTGATCCTGGTGCATAAAACGAGTTGTAACATGAGACAGTGAAGTTGGTGATACATGTAAATCTTATTCTCGTGCACCTCTTTATGGATTAGATTGAAGCATATTTTGACTTAACAGCTATCCCTTGAGTAACCATCATGTATCTATGTATCTCTGTGGTTTGTAACAAAAAAGGAGTTTTTGAAGTCTGATTTGTCCACTCTGTTAAGGCTGGTTAATCATTTTTCATTGTAGCTCTATATTATTTTAATCATGAAATAAGTAATAAGATCTTTATGCTTATCTTTGTTTATGACAGTTTCATTTATGCTGCTTGAGTTTTACAGACAGTGTGGGAACAGTTTAACAAAATAAAAATTAATTCTGACCAATTTTTAAAGTTAGATATAACATAGGTCAAAGAAGCTGGTATTTGTATGTGTTTTTCCCCCTTTTTTGTACAGACATTGAAGTTCAATTGACAGTTTTTTTAAATGTTTAACATTCCCATAGATTATGTACTTCTTGTTACAGCCATTGTGTAACAATATGCTGTGTAGTGGATGTTTATATTCCGAACATTAAAAATAAATTGGAACTGTAATCTTAAGCAGTTAAATTAGGTTGGTCTTTGTGATGATCTTCTGCTTGGTCTTACAGATTTACTAGTAAAAGAATACAGAATATAATGTGCACATTTGTCTTTTTATGTTTGTCATCCATATTGTGAAAAATTGTTATCATGTTATGTCACTATTATGAAATTATTAATGTAAGGCATAAAATTAAAAAAGAACACTTATAGCAGTACTTCTTCACATGCATCATATTTGTGTACGCATACCTGTTCTTTTATGTATTTCTGTGGTTCCTCTCAATTTTAATGAAAATCTTAAGAAAGAAAGCAATGTGCATTCTGTAAAAATGTATTGTGCTTTCAGTTTGGGGAATGCTAGTATGGTGAGGCAAACTGTGAGCCATGTTCTCACTCAACCCAGAAGAAATATCCACAACAGAATGTAATAAATTCATTTGCATGCAGCCTTTTCCTTTCCTTACTTCTACATTTTGTACATCAACTTGCTTAATGCCACACAACACCCACTATGTCCCTAACATCATACCAGTATTTCACTTTTAATGCTACATAATTTTTATTAGCTGGTGAACCTGATTCTCCTAGCCTGGGTTTACTACAATAAGCTTAAAAGTGGAGCAGTGGTCCATATTTATTACTGGTTTACAGCTTTCCAGCACAAGGAAAGAGGGTATTTGGAGAACATTATTATGAGTTGCAGGTGAATGGTACATAGATATTGGTCCGCTCAAGAAAACACTGTACATTAGAAAATACTGCATCTATTCTGTCTGCTGTAGTTCCTTACTCATATTAATGTGGCTCAAATGTGAAAGCAGCAGGGTTGCCAACCTGCACACACATTTCAAAATATCTTCAGAAGGTGGTTATAGAAACATAGAATTTAAAATTCTTCTCAAATGCAATAGTTCTGACAAATAAATTCTATTAACAGTTTTAATAAAATTTGATTGTTAAAGGATTAATGTTTAGAATATGTCTTATCACCACTCTTTATGTAAAATGTCTTGTGTGAAGTGCAGGAGTGTGTTATGAATCAAATTCACATCTTCAACTGACCCACAAGGCCTGAAAATAGTATTTAAATAAATATTTATGATTAAGCAGATCTGCAAAAATGTATCATTTAATTTGGGGACAAATTTAATTTAACTCATGACAAGCATTAATTATAATTTACCATACCATATAACAATACCACACACACAACAGACACTTGTCTACACAAAGGTATGTTGTCCAGCTGAATATAATGTGTACTGGATAGGTATTTTACACACACAAAATTCTTTTCTTACAAACGTACCCTTCATGTGATCTGAGGCATGGTCTGAAATGCAACCGTTTGAAACTAAAGACAAGAACCCAGCCAAATCCTGTGCCTGTAATAAGTACAGCATGTGGCATCAGCAGTTTTGTGAGATCTTAATGCCCCACCAGTGTGATCAAACAACTTTGAGAATTCTCACTATTTCCTCAAGAAAGGATCTGTACTTGCAGACATGAAATACAAAATATAATTTCTTGTTAAAATTTCTTACCAACATCTGCAAATCAGAACAGGAAGACCACAAGAGTGCAGGGGTAAGATGGCAACCCTGAAGTTTCATATCACAACTAAAAATGCTGACCTTAAGAATTCATGACTATTAAAAGACCAATCCTTTGCTAAAATCTGATAAGGAATCATCTGCTTCAAATTGGTAGGCCGTATAGTGATAACAAGTATGTACAAAAATGTGCAACAAGGCGACTTTCTATATGATTATGCACAATTAAATACTACGAAGATATGAAAAAATACAATCTTAATTGAAGATGTATTTCTTATTAAATACTTATTAAGACATTCTTTCCCTTTGTTTTGCTTATTATAGTTACTCAACTAAATTGTTTTGGTCAGAATTCGTTGACGGCTTCATATCAGCTACGAGAGTACTACATGGTATTGTGACAAGAAATTCCACCATATGACATTCAGTGGGTGACAAAAAATTATTTATAGGAAGAATAATGGACAAGTTACTGTCCTTTCTGAAACTCCTGTTCAATGAAAGGAGGACTTGGCACCATCTCTGTAAGGACTGCATTTTATTTTGGTCTTCCACCAGTAGTAATGTTATCAAAATGAAAACAGACAAAACTTCTAAACAATTCTTTATCAGTAAAGCCTGGCACATCAGTGATACCATTGAAAGTGATATATAGTATTTGTTACCTAACATAATGCTAACTTGAATTTATCTGATAAAATAAGTCATGATTTTCAATAGTCATAATGTCCTGATAGATGTGTAGTATCATTTTATGTTTTATAAAGTAATAGTTTTATTTTAACTTCCC